AGAGAGAGAGAGAGAGAGAGAGAGAGAGAGAGAGAGAGAGAGAGAGAGAGAGAGAGAGAGAGAGAGTGGCAAGCGCATGCGGCTGAATGGTACACCCAGGAACTGGTGATAAACAGAGCCGAGTTCGAATGCTGATGGAATGAGAAGAGTAGTGGTGGTCCCCACTGTCCTTGTTTGTTTGAAGTAATGTAACTCAGTGGGGGCGATCGGTTGTACACGATGCTTGGTCAAGGCTGTTGCCTCTCTTTGAAAGAAGAAGAGAGTGGTGTGGTGTGGACAGACCCTAACTTAACAGGGTTATATGTAACTCCTTGAACTCTCTCTTTGAGTGGTGGTCCCCACTGTCCTTCTGCCCCGCTGGTCCAGGACCAAAGGATGGAACCAGAGGAGCAAACTCTCTTTGAGTGGTGGTCCCCACTGTCCTTCCATCCATTCTTTGAGGTTTGCTTTGCTGCACAGCGGACGAAACCTTGCTGAGCTTGGTGGCGGTGACAGCTGCCTGCTTTTTTTTTTTTTTTTTTTTTCTGATCATTGATCTAGAAAGCTGTTTGAAATCCTGCTGTCACTTGTCAGTAGGTTTGACGTCTGCACCTGTCATCGGTATTTTACTATTTTGACTTCTATTACAGCTGACCAGCTAAGGCAACATGCCGCAGGTGATAGGATTTGATTGCTATCTTGTGCAGGTCCTCTGCTTAATCAAATCACCGTTGATCAAGACATCTGTTTGAGATTCTATCATCAGGAATTCTAGTTGTACGGTTGCCTGTCGGTTTGTATGGTTGCCCTTCGGTTTGTGTGGTTGCCCTGCGGTTTGCACGGTTGCCCTTCTACTGGTACGGTTGCCCTTCGACTTGCACACCTGCCCTTTGGTTTGTACGTTTTCCTTTTGGTTTGTGCCGTTGCCCTTTTGCACTTGGACTTGTATGCCTGCCCTTCAACTTGCAGGGTTGCCCTTTGATTTGTACAGCTGCCCTTTGATTTGTATGGCTGGCCGTCAAATTGTACTGTCGCTCTTCCACTCGTATGATTGCCTTTCAACTTGTACAGTTGCCCTTCGACTTGTACAGTTGCCCTTCGACTTGTACAGTTGCCCTTCGACTTGTACGGCCGCCCTTCAACTCGTACAATTACCCTTCAACTTGTACGGTTACCCTTCGGTTTGTATGGTTGCCCTTCCACTTGCACAGATGCCCTTCGACTTGTATTCGGTTTGTACTGTTGCCCTTGCACAGATGCCTTCAACTTGTATGGCTGGCGCTGAACTTGTACGGTTGCCCTTCTTCTTGCATGGTTGCCCTTCTACTTGTACGGTTGCCCTTCGACTTGTGCGGCTGCCCTTCAACTTGTACGATTACCCTTCAACTTGTACGGTTACCCCTCGGTTTGTATGGTTGCCCTTCCACTTGCACAGATGCCCTTCGACTTGTATTCGGTTTGTACGGTTGCCCTTCCACTTGCACAGATGCCCTTCAACTTGTATGGCTGGCGTTCAACTTGTACGGTTGCCCTTGTACTTGCGTGTTGCCCTTCTACTTGTACGGTTGCCCTTCGATTCGCGCGGTTGCTCTTCAACTTGTATGGTTGCCCTTTGACTTGCATGTTTGCCCAGCGGATGTAGGGTGATACCGACAGCAGGATTTGCTCTATGTCTTGTGCAGGTCCTGTAGGGTGATACTGACAGCAGGATTTGCTCTGTGTCTTGCGCAGGTCCTGCTACTTGACGAGATCACCGTTGATCTAGATGTGCTTGGACGTGCCGACCTGATGCAATTTCTTAAGTCCGAGTGCGAGGAGCGCGGTGCAACGATCATATATGCTACACATATATTCGATGGGCTGGAGAACTGGTTCTCTCATATTGTGCGTAGAATCCTCTTCCCCTCCCCGTGTCTTTCTGCTCGCTCCTCCCCCCTTTCCCCTGTGTGCATCCGTCCCCTCCGGGCCTCCGTCCTTCAACCCTCTGTTGCCTGAGGACCACTGCAAAGAGTTACGACGGCTCTCCCGTTCAGCAACTTGTACTCCGCCGGAACTTGGCAAAGAACGAAAAAAGTGTCCACTTATTGCGAGTATATCATGCTTCCACGACAAGACAGGATCGTACACGACGTTCTTAGAATGATCTTCTTAGAATGTTCTTAGAATGATCTTACACGACGCATTCATATGAACCCCGCTTTTCCACTTATTAACATGGCTTCAGACCGGGACGTAGTGCTCACACAACCCTTAATAATGTTATAAAGGAGAAGGATGCAAGGAAAAAAAAAAAGTGATAAAAAAGAGAGTAATAGCCAGCAATAAAGTTTTTTCACGATCCTTTGTTAGAACCTTGCATGGCGGGTAGTTTATCTGGGGCGGATGCCTTGTCTGGGGCGCTTACATAGTAATAATGTCAAAGGCAAAAAATCTGGCTATATGCAGAAACCTCCGCCAAGTATCCAATAATGAATGCGTCGGTACGGACACTCAGCAGGGAAGGAAGTCTAAGACCGTACGGCTGCGACGACGGCGCGCTAGACTTTCAGGCCTCTCTCCTTCTCTTCCCCCCCCCTTTTTTTTTTTTTTCCCTTACTTTCTGTTTGTGTGTTTGTCAGACAACGGATGTCTTTCTGAATGGATTTGTCGGACAGCACATCTACCCTATTGAGCTGCTCAGCTCCCTGCTGGTGGTCCCCACCAAGGCAACCGTTCCTGATAAGGGAAAGTTTCTTTTCGGATTGCAGTGTCGCGTCAACCACGGGCGTTAAGAAGAGAGGGGTGTTGTAGAACTGCCGTCTTCCCCTAAACACAACGCGCCCTCATTATGGCCGAATCCAACCAGAAAGATGGCTTGTATAAGTTCAGAATCAGGGTGCGGTAGTTGAATGAAGTTTAAAAACTTAAAATCGATTGCATCAGTTTGATGAACTTTGATCACAAATAATGACAATTCAAATTTCAAAATGATGAAATTTGAAATTTCAAATTTGTTTCCACTTCCAACTCTGAACACTGAGATAAGTTCAGGGTAGAGGGGCGGACAAGGAAAAGTAGAAGTTGTCGTCTTTTTTTTTTTTTTTTTTTTTTTTTTTTTTTTTTTTTTTTTTTTTTTTTTACTCGAGAGTCGAGATTATCATGCACTGACGCCGCCGCAGCATTACAGAGTGCCAACATAGCAGCAGGAGCCTGGTAGCACTGCAATGAGGGAATGCGATTCCACGGCTGCACAACCTTTGAGCGACTGCACATGAAGAGCAGCTACGCGCTAAATGGATGCTGCCATTGCGAAAGTCTAGCTGTCCCTTTCCCCCACTGCACTCCAAACAGGCGCTCACAGCCACTAGTGTCTCGAGATCGGGTGGAGCTGTGTTGTCTTTGCTACCATCCCTTTTCTGTTGAAGTCTTAAAAATCCTTTTGATGCTTGCCAGTGAAAAGCTACCGAAATTCTTCTCTTCCCCCCCCCYCCCCCCTCCCCCCCCCCTCCTCCCCCCGAATGGATGGGGCATCAGCTAAGTCACTTAAGTGTTGTGTCAAAAAAGTAAAACAGGATAAGTTTAGGGTGTGGTTGGTTGAAGCATCTGTCGAGGATATGGGGGAGTCGGCATAATGAGAATTTGAAAGTGAGCTCAGAAAAAATCGGGGGATTTTTGGGAACAAACCTGGTTGGGTGAAGCAAATCTGGAGTCTCTAGAGTCTACACTTTGTTTATCTAGATTCGAGAATCTATCTAGATTCGTTTTTTTCAAAGGAAAAAAAAAAGAAAGAAAGAAAAAAAAAGAGAGGGAGAGGGACCGACTATAGCAGTCGTAATGGCATGACGATGACTAATTGATGTTTTCTTGTGGCTGTGGAACCTGCATCTCCCTGAGCACCGTCTTTCAGGCTTACGTTGCAGATGGCAGGCTGAAGCTGGCAAAGCCCAGGTCAGAAATAGCAGAACTGAAGCATATGTCTCTGATGGTAAGCAAGCACATTCCTTCTCATTCCTGTCTGTACATTGATGGTAGTATGGACTCTGTGCACTTTCTGCTCGATATATAGGTACATCATATATCGTCAATTAGATATATATTATATATATAGGGTTCAGCCTCCTGATGAGTCGGTGAAACTCCGACGAAACAGTTTGTCACAGCCCCTCCTTTGTTGTCCTCTTCTCCCTCCCTCCCTCTCTGCCTAAGGTTTACCGGGCAGCTCTGTGTTATGAACCTGGTTGCTTGTTGTCAGAAGACTAACACTCACTCACATAGACTTCCATGCATGCCCATACATACACAGAAGGAAGGTGAGATGATAGGAGTATCACACCACACAGAGAGAATGAAACACAGCAGAAGCCATGTCCCGCCGATATGATATGACAGAATACCCTGAAAGTGCAATTCGCTCCACGGAGTCCCCACAACCAGTCACAAAGGAAAGTAGAGTAGATCACATCCAGGAAACAATGACGCAAAGATCGTCAACACACAGTATTGCATGGGTCCTGGGGACCATCTCACGCAAGTGTGTACATGCCATGCATCGTACTCCCACACACAATGAACAGTAGTCTGACAATAGACAAA